TATTGTAAAATAGTTTTTTTATATGTTGCACACCGGGTGAAAAGTCAGTCGTGTAACATCGACGGTCGCTCCTGTATGGCTAGGGTACTCTTTAGAACCACAGATCTTGATTTGAAACCGTAGATCTGAGATCACAGATCTTTGAAATGTATAAATTAAGGATTGGTCCCGTATCCGGGTTACCAGCGTGGTAGATCGTGTAACTGGGTAAATATTCTGCTACCCGAGTAAAAAAAGGTAGCCAATCAAACAAAGATATTTTCTTATGTACATGGTCACGTGGTGGCACATAAACCAATCAAATCGTATGATTTGTAGATTATACTTTACCCGGGTAACCCGGGTAATTACCCAGCTAGGTTAGCAATTAACTGACAGGTAACCCGGATTGGATTTTTTTAAACGGGTCCAATCTCTATTGAGGCAAATTTTTTAATCAGTCGAAATTCGAATAAAGTTAATCTATTGCAGTACCGTTTTACTGAAAAACGTTATGAATAATGAAATGATGAATTCACTCGAATATGAGTTATTTACTGCAAATAGAACTATTTGTAAAGTTACTCCGGACTATTTTGAGTTTATTATAATGGTTTATAGTTAAAAGAATTAGAACGTGAACCTTGTTCCATAGTATTATTGTGATTTGCAAAATTGTTGCGATTTCTCAACAACCATCTAATCAAATTCGATAAATTTTTTTATTGAATCTATAGATTCAAATAAAAAAAAAAATTCATCGAATTTAATCAGGTGGTTGCTGAGTTATCATCGCTCGAAGTTTTTTTAAAAATATCAATGTTTATCAAAAATAGAAGCTGCGCCAAATTTTTCCTAAAACTTTTAGCTATGATATTTCAGCAACCACATGGTCAAATTCGATGAAATTTTTTTTATTTGAACTCATAAATCCAATAGAATTCAAATAAAAAAAACTCATCAAATTTGATCAGGTGGTTGATGAGATATCTTCACTCAAAGTTTTTTAAAATATCAAAACGTCAAAAATAGAAAGAAGCTGCCAAAATTTTTCTTAAAACTATGAGCGAAGATGTCTCAGCAACTATCTGAACAAATTCGATAAAAATTTTTTTATTTGAATTCTATTGATCCATAGAATTCAAATAAAAAATTCCATCGAATTTAATCAGGTGGTTGCTGAGAAATCTTCATTCAAAGTTTTTTTTTTAAAAAAAAAACAAATTCGCCTATAATACAAGAGTGAAAATGTAGTAACTCCACAAGTTCTCGTTTATTTAAGTTAAATATTTACAAAGCAAAATTTTAATATATTCTCTAAATGACTTGTTATTGCGCAGTAATTACTTTAGACCGAACTTTTCAAAATCAGGGTTGGACCTTGAATTTTCGTCATAATATCAAAATATAAGTTTTTCCTAAAACTTTAAGCGATCAAATTCGATGAAAAATTTTTTATTTGAATTCCATTGATCCATGAATGCAAATAAAAAAAATTTAATTAGGTGGTTGCTGAAATATCTTCGCTCAAAGTTTTAGGAAAAATTTGGCGCAGCTTCTATTATAGATGTTTTAATATTTTTAAAAACCTTTGAGCGAATATATCTCAGCAACCGCTGATCAAATTCATGAATTTTTTTTTATTTGAATTTTATAGATTCATAAAATTCAAATAAAAAAAATTTCATCGACTTTGATTAGATAATTGCTGAGATATCTTCGCTCAAAGTTTTAGGAAAAATTTGGCGCAGCTTCTAATATTTATGATAATTTTTAAAAAAAACTTTGAGCGATGATATATCAGCAACCACCTGATCAAATTTGTTGATTTTTTTTATTTGAATTCTATAGATTTATCAAATTCAAATAAAAAAAATTTCATCGGATTTGATCAGATGGTTGCTGAGAAATCACACACAATCACTTATAATCATTCGGGCATACAGTAATCTACAATTTTATCAAAAATTAAATGCACTTATAATCTAGGTCGATGTTAACACTAAGGTTTTCCCTGACTCGTTGACTCGTATGGTTGCTTGCATGTCACATGACAATAATATTATGGGTATTTGTGGAGAGTTAGAAATTTTTAATAAGAATGGTATTTGGGTAACTATGGTTCAGGATAAGCACACGTACAATAAATAGTTTGGGAAAAATATTTGCGATTCTAAATACAAGTATACCTGATAACGATGATATCACATACGTACTTTTCTCCAGCTCTGTACATATTTTTAAACCTTTTCATAAATTGAATATATGTTATCGTTGTTTTTGTTCGTAGCTTTTGAATATTATATCACCCATTTACAAAGGGCATTAGAAACAATTTTTGGCCGTGTAACATGTCTACCGAGTTGTTTCTGAATTTATAGAATTAAATTAGCAAAAAGTTCAGATTGGATACCGATTCTTATAGATCCAAGAAAAACTTGTTATTCGGCGAAGATCATTATTTGACCACTCTTTTGTTTCGAAGGTTTCCCAAACGAAAAACGGTGTACCGTTGTTACTATTGTAACACTTCTGCGCCCCAAAATTTCATCCTTTCTTATTTTTGCCCTGTATAATTATTTTCATCCTACCTTAAAATTATCGGATAATCTTGATTCCGATTGTCTTTTTATTGTCCCACCTGATTTCTATTTTTACTTTCCGCCTCCTTTTTGATTTGTCTCATGCATATGCCCGATATCCATACCAAGTTGACCTGTTATGCATGTAGGTAAATTGGTCCGACATATAAGCACTACTAGCAATCGACCTTTCAATTGTTGGCGGAGTTCTGCTAGCATGATAATGCTCAAGTGGCATTGAGTTCTGAGATTATTGGTTCGGATGTTACTCCTACTTCGAACCTTAATGTGTTGGAAAGTTTGATTGATGTTGACGATTAATTAGAGATTCGTGGCCTGATGATTTGATAGATAAGCGTTTGTCTGCAATGTGCTAAAGAGAGATTTGTAGTTAGTTGACATGTATATAAACCTGATGTATTCGTCCTCATGAAGAGGCAGGTTTTTGTCTTGAGTAGACTTTTCCTATTTGATAATAAATGTATTGCTATGAATTATGACTATATGCTTTGTGCAGCTTAGTCAGAGTTTATTCTTGGTCTTTTATTTTATTTCATACACTTACCCTCCATCCTGACCCATTACATATTCGTTTACCACCCTGAACTATCTTGGCACTGACATATCTGACGCTCTCCCAAATTCGGATGGTAACACCGTATTTGCCTGTAATAACGCACAGGGGTGTAGTTTTGAATTTCGGCCTAAATTAAGCTTAACTCAGGCCGTGTCTCAAAATAACGCACCTGTGCGTTATTACAGGCAAATACGGTAATTATCGTACCAGATACTTTTTACGCTTTTTGTTCCGAATGTCCTCTATTGATTAATTCTACAATACATAATCTTTTAGAACTTTATTGATTCCTAACCTGTTCGGAACCTTTTGTTTTTCCATGAAATTCGTTATATTTTCGAGATTGGCGGATATAATAGTGTACAATACTTTTCTTATATTTATTTTGTTTCTTCGTGCATTAGTTTTATGTCTGTCTGCTATTCTCATTTTATTAATATCATTAATTTCACAGAGTGATTTTTCTTATTTTATTTGGATGATAATTTACCTTTTGACAATGCCCTTACGGAATTTTATTATTCCAATATACACATTTTGGCATTTTGATAATTTTCTTGGGAGGAAAATATTACAAAAGAGAAAAATTGATAGCTCAAATGTTATAATGAAAAATGAGGTGATTGGGAATATGAGAATGTATTAAAATATCGTCAATATAGCATTTCTTATATTAATTATTAAACTTATCACAATTTTCATTATCATATTTATACTTTTTGGCTCAAGTACAGTATTAATTACTTTTACATTTTACGGTCTTCTTGTTAAGTGAATTTAAAATTAATCAATTTGAGAAATCGGAATTTTTAGGACATGCACTTTATTGTTCATCTTTCTTACTGTTAACTATAGTTTTAGAGTACAATTTTTATTAACTATTAGTTTCAGGACATAAATACAAGTCAATGCCACTCCGAATTAGTGATGCCGACTAAACGTTTTAACTTCACTATGTTTTGGGTTTTATCACGCGATAAATCAGATTTTAACATATATCTTAGTTAAAATTGTTAAAATAAAAAAGATATAACTAGATATAACTGTAGCTAAAAATTTTGATTAAAATTAAACTACAGCACTATCGTTATGATCAAATTACGTAAAAGTCAAACCACTGTATAATAAATTAGAATATCAAAACAATTTACAATTCTTTACTTATTTCAATAGGGGCTTCCGAATCAGAAATTAAATAGGCGTAGCCAGTGTTCATTTTTCACCTGCGAAAAGTGTGCGGATCCAATCAAATTGGGTTATTTAAAATTTTGATTGGATCCGCACACGTGCGCACACTTTTGCGCACGTGAAAAATGCTTTTTTGATAAACATTCACCGGTAAGCGATTATGTAAATAAGTGCGTACTTTAAAAAAAATAGAATTTGTACGTCACTTCTTTTGAAATAAATAAATTACTTATCTAAAATCGGACGTCGAATCATAAATTCTGAAACGCAATATGTCGAATAATAATTTGAGTGCTACTAGCGATTGTTCAGCTTCTTCAACTAATAAATCTAACTGATGAAAAAATTGGAAAATACTATTCTGTCCGATGCAAATATTGTTTTAAGCATTGTCAATAAGCATTGTCAAAGATGAATGCCAACCATAATGAAATTACATTTAGCAAATGAATGTTCTAATTGTCCAGAGGACATACAAAAATACTGGCAAGATAAAATTCATAATCGAAATAATTTCGTCGTAAATATGCTAAATAATTGATATAAAATCCAACACCGCATTATACAAGCAGCAACTTAAACAATTTTCAATAAAAAATTTTTCAGTTTTTTATTTCATTGTAAAATACGCTCAAATAAATTTTTATTGTTTTATCGCAAGTATATAACGTTTATCAGTTTATATTTTGATACTTTTCACGTTTTTAATTTAAGCTTCAAAAATATAAATAGTGTTAACCTATCACGTGGATAGTTTATATTTTTATCAAGTTTTATCATGAGTACAGTCGGCATCACTACTCCGAATGTAGTTATTTAGACGAATTGTGATTTGCGTTATATCATCACAGTGATAAATTATAAAACTATTATCGCTATCAACAAATATGTATTGGATGCGAAGGACTGATATTACATACTATATGCATGTTAAATTAATAGTATGTAAGTATAAAATTTATTTATAAAAGAAAGATTAATATATTTTATTGTTAAACAGACTAATTATATTTTTCTAATAATTATTCTTTTTTCTTATCTGTTATTTATTATTTACTTTATGTTATACTATATATGTATTAAATTAACAGTATGTAAGTATAGAATTTTATTTATAAAAAAAAAATCAATATATTTTATTATCAAATAATTATTATTTTTTTTATTTGTTATCTGTTATTTACTTTTTTGTTTTATTATATACATGTTAAATTAACAGAAAGTATGTGTAAATTTTATTTATAAAAAGATTAATATATTTTATTATCAACAAATAAATAAATTATATTTTTTTAATTTTTTTTTTTTTTATCTGTTATCTGTTATTTACTTTTTTGTTATATTATATATATGTTAAATCAACAGTATGTAAGTATAGAATTTTATTTATAAAAAAAAGATCAACATATTTTATTATTAATAAACAAATAAATTATATTTTTTAAATAATTATTATATTTCTTATTTGTTATTCACTTTTTTGTTATGCTATATATATATTAAATCAATAGAGAGTAAGTATAAAATTTTATTTATAAAAAAAGATCAACATATTTTATTATTAATAAACAAATGAATTATATTTCTTAAATAATTATTATTTTTCTTATTTGTTATTTACTTTTTTGTTATGCTATATCAACAGAAAGTAAGTGTAAAATTTTATTTATAAAAAAAAGAACAATATATTTTATTATTTGGCACTTTACTATGATTGTACTAACAGAATAACTCAAGTTATTTTGATAATAATTGCATCATCTTCAAATAACTTCATTATTTGATGATGATGATGCAATCATCACCAAAAGACCTAGAGTCATTCTGTTGGTTCAGATGTCTAATAATATCGTTATTAAATGCTACTTAGCCAATAACTTGTTTATCTGGCAGTGAATTTAATATGTCATTCCTGGGCCCCAAAGGAGCCCAGAAGCTGACATATTAAATTTAACAGCCAAATGATGAAATTATTTTACAAATAATTTCTATTATTGGCTACTTCACATCCACTAACTCTATATTATTAACAAACAAATTATATTTTTCTAATAATTATTTACTCTTTTATCTATTATTTGTAATTAATTTTTTTGTAATGCTATAAGTGAGTAAGTGTTAAATTTTATTTATAAAAAAAAAATCAATATATTTTATTATTAATAAACAAACCAATTATATTCTTTTTCTTATTTGTTATCTATTATTTACTTTTTATTAAATTTATAGTATGTATCAAACAAATAAATTATATTTTTCTAATAATTATTCTTTCTGTTATCTGTTATCTGTTATTTACTTTTTGTTATATTATATGTATGTTAAATCAACAGTATGTAAGTATAAAATTTTATTTATAAAAAAAATTAATATATTTTATTGTCAATAAATAATTAAATTATATTTTTTTAATAATTATTCCTTTTCTTATCTATTATCTGTTATTTACTTTTTTGTTATACTACATACTAAACTAATAGACAGTAATTATAGAATTTTATTTATAAAAAAAAGATTAATATATTTTTCTAATAACTATTTTTTCTTTTATCTGTTATTTACTTTTTGTTATACTACACACTAAACTAATAGACAGTAATTATAAAATTTTATTTATAAAAAAAAAATTAATATATTTTATTAACAAACAATTAAATTATATTTTTCTAATAATTATTCTTTCTCTTATTTGTTATCTGTTATTTACTTTTTTGTTACATGTATGTTAAATCAACAGGGAGTAAGTGTAAGATTTTATATGTAAAAAAGATCAACATACTTTATTGGCAATGAACAAATAAATTATATTTCTCTAATAATTATTCTTTCTCTTATTTGTTATCTGTTATTCACTTTTTTGTTACATGTATGTTAAATCAACAGAGAGTAAGTGTAAGATTTTATATGTAAAAAAAGATCAACATATTTTATAGTCAACGAACAAATGAATTATGTTTCTCTAATAATTATTTTTTCTCTTGTTTGTTATCTATTATTTACTTTTTTGTTATGCTACATGTTAAATCAACAGGGGGGTAAGTGTAGAATTTTATTCATAAAAAAAAGATCAACATATTTTATAGTCAACGAACAAATGAATTATGTTTCTCTAATAATTATTCTTTCTCTTATCTGTTATTTTCTTATACACTAAACAAGGTGGTAATACTATTTTGTATTTTACATCTAATTTATTTCATGAAAATATTTAAATAGCTGATAGTAAATTAATAAATACGCAGAAACTCTTTTTATGGAACATGTAATAAATGTACACAGTATAATACGGATTGTGCCTGGTGCCAGACGTGTGATCCTGAAATAACTGTTCAAGGATGGTCAAGTGGAAATGAAGATATTGATAATTGCATTAAAATGTTTCAGCGCGAAGCCATAATGCATGATGATGTTATTGAATGGATCCCATTTGATAGACTTAAAGAAGTTGAAAAAATTGGGGAGGGAGGTTTTGGCTCAGTATTTTCAGCAATTTGGTTGGATGGCATACGGGTAACTGTATATGTAAACAATAGCTGGATAAGGGCACGTCAAAACTCATCTAAAGTTGCACTTAAAACCTTGCCTGATTCTAAAGATCTTTCTAAATGCTTAAAAGAAGTGAGTTAAAAATTTTTTTTCATTATAAATTCAAGCATTTAACATATTAAATATTAATACAAGTTCATTTAATAAGTTTAAAATCATATGCAATGTAGAAGTGAATTAGAGATATATGGATTAACACAAAGTACAGAAAATAATTATCTGATGGTACTTCAATATGCCGATAATGGAGGTCTTGATAAGTTTTTAAAAAATCAATTTAAAGAACTTACATGGGAACTTAAATTATCACGCCTTTTTGATATATCAGAAGATTTAGCAAAAATTCACAAAGCAGGATATACTCATAATGATTTTCATAGCGGAAATATTTTGCAAAATAAAATTGGTGACACTATATTTTCTTATATTGCTGATCTTGGATTATCTAAAAAATTGAAGAATATAATCAAGATGAAGAATTTTTTGGAGTTATTCCATATGTTGCACCTGAAGTTTTACAAGGTGGAAAATATACACCGGCAGCTGATATCTATGGACTAGGTGTTATTATGGCAAATGTCATCTGGACAGAGACCTTTTGATAATCGTCCGTATAATTCTAAACTTTCAGCTGATATTTGCCGAGGATTACGACCAGAATTTGGTGTTGGAACTCCATGTTATATCAGGTTAGCCAAAAGATGTATGGATCAAAATCCACAGAAACGGCCCACTGCTATTGATATTAGAATTAAGCTTTATCATCTATGAAAATATAATAATGTGTATCTTAATGGATCTGATAAACTTGGTATAAAAGAGGAATTCTTAGCTGCTAATAATATTATTAAAACATTACCAGAAATCACACGAAACCATCCAAATTCAAAGTATATAAGTAAGGTTATTAGCACAAAACAAATAAAGACTTTTCTTATGAGTAAAGGTAGTATTTAGAGTTACTTATAATTATTTTTTAAGTGTATTTATAAATTTTATTAACTGACTTGTTTTTAGAATGTCCATCAGCTGATATTCCCGATGGTGAGTACTTTATTTTTATATTCAAAAATTAAACAATTACTTATCATTATTATATTATTAGATTAGTAACGATAAATAAGAAAGTGACTATTTTGAGGATTTATAACTAAAATAAAATCAATAAAGATATACTCGTATTTTATACCCTATACTGTACAGATTTGGCCATCGTAATTTGGTTGAGAAAAGTACGTAATGAAATTCGTTCTTTACACCAAAAAATATCCGTATTATTCTTTAAAAAGGATAAATATGAATTACAATTCATAGTTAACCCAAAAAATTGGGTTCTAATAATTTATTAATTGAATTGATCTACATACCCAACTGTATTTCATTCTATCATGAAACATGAATTTTCTCCCATAATCATGAAACTCATTAAAATAAATTAGTAATTCGAAATAATGAACAAAATGATTGGTAAAAATATACAGGACGCTCGTTACGGACGATAATTTTATTATAATCTTTTTCTAAAATTATTGGTTCATTTTGGATGATATTACCACCAAAATGATTATCTTGACAAACTTATACGTCCAATTAAATTATTTGGACAATTAGACATTGTCCAAATGTTCATATTATCTCTGGCTAGTTCAGATGGTTTAATTTTAACGATAATGAATTTAAATCCCGATTGGGTCAGTATAGTTCATTCTAACTACTTAACATCCCTATATGTGCTAGAGTGTTCTTTATCTAGTAGACTAATCTTTTATTGATTCTTTTATCATTTCTATTTACAGTATATTATATCATTCTTTCAATTAAATTTCTATTTTTGATTGCTTATATTATATGTATTAGATTTTTTTAAAACCACATTTAGGTGCTGTGTTATGAAATAATATATTTGTAATGTTAAAAGGTTTATGAGTTACGAAGATTTGTTACATTAAAGGCCACATTTTAAGATTTAGACCGGTTTTATTATATTTTAGATTTTGTTTTGGTAGTTTTTATAGTTTGACTGTAAGTTATCCAATTAAAATATTAACTAATTCGGCATTAATAAAGTAGTACAAAAATATTGATAATTATGGATAGTACATTCACTGATTAACTCATGGGTCAACCCATGCTACAACTCACGCGACTCACTTGGGTTCAATAGACATCTATGACAAGTTATACTGTCTTGAAACAGTATTATAACTAAATCTTTAAAAATTTGATAATTCGGATTTTACAATCGAATATAATCGCAAGAAAAGAAATACAAAGCTAAATAACATATACTATTCGTATTACTCTAAGGCAATATACAAATGTTAGATCCTTTAGTCTAATAAAATATATTCATTATAATAATAGAGCGAAATTTATTAATTATGCCATATTACAATCTAAATAATATAATCATTAGAGCTTTGTTTTTTAAAAAAAATTTTTTTAATATTTTCTTTAAACGTTAATTTTTAAAGAATTTATTAGAATCCACTGATTATAAACTATTAAGCATTTTAACTATCACATTACTAGATTTATTTTATATATTAAAATAATAGAATCTTTAAAAATTTATAAATGATGTTAATTTGGCAGAAAATATCAATCATAAAAGGAATTCATAGAAATTAACAACCAACAACAAGATGTTCATATGGCATTACAGTAACATATCTTTCCACTTCCCATATAAAATTATCATCAAAATACATGTTTACGCCCACGTAATTCAAAGTTCTTTTTCTTAAGCAGAATTCAATTAATGCTTTAGCTTGTTTCTCGTTATCAAATTTATAAATTAACAATTTTTTTAAAGGTGCATGGCAATTACCGAGTAAAATATTAACATATGAATTTAAAAAAGTACCCCCTAGATCAAGATATTGCAAAGATAAGGGTAATATTTCAGCAAACTGCGTAACTTGTTGTTCTTCTGATATATCATTATCCTGCCATAAACCTAGCGTGAGAAATTGAAGTTTTTGTAAAATACCAATAAGTCCTAAGAGTTGTGTGGAAAATTTAATAGATGAAATGTTGAGATATGTAAGGTTTGGGCAGAAGGATTTAAGAGCTTCTAGTAGTATCGATTCACCCCAAATGTCTTGATCTATAGGTTCAAGTTTTAATCGTTGTAGTAATGAGCCAGGCTTTTCTAACATTAACACTATAGTTGTTGCATCAATCACACAATCAACTATTTCTAAAGTGCTAATTTTATAATCAATTGTTTTCAACAAATCTGTACAATCGTAATGTCCGCAATACCTGATACGAAGAATTTCTAAACTTTCACAACTCGTTAGCACTTTAAACTCATCACTAGAAGCACAACATTCTATTATTACTTCTCGTAAAGATTTTTGATGACACTCTAAAGCCGAAATAATACCGTGAAATTCATCAGGAAATTCATCACCACCGATTATGCTGAATCGTCTAAGATTTTCTTGAGATTTAATAATGCATACAAGTGTATGACATATTTGAGGATCATAATCAGAATAAACTTCATCAAGTACCAAAGAATTAATTTTCCTAGTATTTTTTGCCAAGATTTTTAATAATGCAGTAGCATTTTCAGTACCGAAATCTGATATTCCACTCAAAGATAAATCTTGAAGTCGTGAAAAAAATAATTCATTTCTTCCTAATGAATAAAAGATCTCTGGCTTAATTTCAATAAAATAAGGAAAGCATAAATCTAATTTGTATAAAGCGGCACCACTTTCAATAAATAATTTAAATAATAAATTAATTAAGTGATATTTCAATGAGTTGTAATATTGATTCGAACCAACAAGATGAAAATCTATCCATTTTTTAACTTTACTTTCTAGATTGGATAAACTTAAAATCTTTAAAAATCTTGCATAATTAAATAATGTATTGGGAAATTTTGCATTTATTCCATATTCTTTTAAAATAAATTTTTCGTCTTCATCAAGAGATGAAAAGTATTTAGAAATGAATAATGGTTCTTGATCGAATGAAAAAGGATTTTGCCAAAGAATAGGAATTGTCATTTTGCACCAATGTCGACTCACAAGTGTACACGAGTATAAAGAATCAAATTCATTATCTAAATTATTAAGAATATTTTCCATTAATTCGGGCATATCGCCCATAAATATTTTTGATGCCATGAGTTGTTAGGTTTTTTTTTTTTTGTTGATGTGCATAGAAAGGAATCTGTTACGTATTGTGTTTGTCATTGAGCTTTAAATAGTACTTGCTTGACGATCCCGACGTGACTTAGTCGATCAAATAAAAGTTTAATTAAATATACGTATGAACAGCATTCTATACAAAGGTGTTGTTTGAAATTAGCAATATCATATATGTTATATTAATATGTTAGAAATTAGCAATATCATATATGTTATGTTAATATGTTATGTTAATTCTGTAATTTGTATTCTACAATGCTGCAATGCTGCAATGCTGCAATGCTGCAATGCTGCAATGCTGCAATGACTGAAATTTCATCTTAATTTACACGTAACGATAGAATCTGATACGTAGTTATTGTTATTGTTGTTTTGACTCTATGATTGACTTTTCATGCACATGAACCTTTTTTTACGTCAATATATTTAATGCCTATACCATGAATACGTCATTCTCCTTAGAATGCATAAATCATGTCAAGCTAATCATGTCAAGCTAATGAAGGAAGGGATTCTATTTTAAGATATATATCATTACAAAAAAATATTTCAATATATTTTAAACTTCAAATCAAATCATTCGATTTTATCGTATAGTTAAATCATTTATAAATAATTGTTTTTCTTTTTTAAAAAAAAATACTACAAGTCAACGTTTATTCAACTTTATTTTTTTTACGTACTATCTGTTATTATTCATGCCTCGTCAACGTATCGATTTTACCCCTGTCCACAGAAGTGAATGGAAAAAACATCCTAATGGTGTTTTATCACAAGATATTGAATTTACTCATACCAATCAGTCTGAACAAAGATATCCAAAGAGAGGCAGAAGTTATGATCGTTGCTGTCGGATTCGTGATTCAAGTAATAGTAGTAGTGATCGTGATAGAAGTTCATCAAGAGATGACTTTTATCAAAATCATTATTCTTCAACATATCAAAGTCAACGTTCTCACAATAGAAACAATAGAAAACGTGAAAGGTCACCACCCGATGACCACATTACAACAAGGTATCTCAATCGCTTTTCTAATCACTTTTTTAATAATAGAAAAGATTGTTCTTTCAAATAACAAAAATTATGTTTTAAATGTTATAGAAGGCGTCATCATTTCAATGAAAGTCGAAGAAATCACGAATCTTATTTGCATCAACCTGTTTGCACAACGTTTGAACCATCTTATATACAAAACCTAATGAGTCAAATTAGCAATTTAAGCCTCCAACTAGAAATAATGCAAAATAGAATATCTGGTGTACCACCAATTCAACCTTCTTCAACCCACGCATCTATTAACATGCAAAATGAAGGTGACGAAAATCAACAAAATGAAACTAGGTTACTACTTGAAGCTCCTACACCCTTTGAAAGACCACCTGAAAATCATGAAACTTTAGTTATAGTGTCTAAAAATCAGACACTTTCTCTTAATAAAGCAAGTAAATTACCTTCTCAAATGAATAATGAAGATGCTCAATTCACACAAATGCCTCTCGAACCCATGAATTCTGTTTTTAAACAGACTTTTCATGATGAAATTGTTAAAATTTTGGATCATTTACCGACTGAACACCAATTTGATATCACCAAAAATTTTACTCAACAATTAAATCATGTAACTTATGTTACTATTCCTGCGGTTAAAGCTTTGATTAGCCCTAGATTAGTCTTTACTGATGATGAGTTAATCGCGACAATAAGACAACTTCATAAAAGTCGTCGAGGAAAATGGAAAAGTCGTGAAAAATTGGAGGCTCATAGAGCACGTCGACGTATCAGTTCACGGACTAAACGAGTAAATATTTTTATAAAATATATATAATTTATTTACACTAATTTTACTAATAAATTTTATTTAATCATTTTAAAGAAAATATGCAGTAGAATTCGTGGTCTGCAACATATGGTTCGTATAGGTGATCCAATTCTTAATGAATGTCAACCACCAACACTCAGTTGGGAAGAATATCTTCATGATTTGGAACGAGCCGTAAATGATCCTGCATTACAATCTTGCGAAGAATCTGATAATGATGAAGTTTTGGCAAATCAGGAAAGAGGTGAACGCCCAACAATTATTCGGGATAGCAATAGTGTTATAAAGGTTTATGATAAACCATGGAGATCTACTAAAGTATGTTTCAAACTTTTTTCTGTAACTATTTAAATTCTGTTGAATTATTTTTTCATTTTAAAAATTTTTACAAATTTAGATCAAGCGTCTTTTACGCCGTTGTGACGAAGTTGGTGGTTCTGTTTATGGATTAATTAGAAAAAGATGGTATAACGATCAATTATATGTAAATAATAATAGTCGTCCAAACGAACATGTTCCCCATTGGTGGGTTTCTACGAATTGGTCTACTTCTGATGCCGAATCTAGTGAAATTCATAAAGAAGTCGAACTAGAAGTTGATAAAGAAAATGTTGGTGATAATAATGGAAATGATATTTAGTTTTAGAATTAATTTTGATATTATTCTGATAATACTTTGATAATATTTTGTAATATTTGCTCTTGACAAACAGTAACTTCTGAACAAATCATAGATATATCTTTTTTTTTTACTACCGTGATTGTCGCATGTAAATAAAATTATGCAGTATGCAGTTTTGTCAATATATATACTTGACTTATTCTTATAAATTTTTAATGTGTTGTTTATTAAAAAAAATGGTATGTCATATTTATTACGCCTGAATTAAAATTAATAACGTAAACGAAAGAATGCAAAAGAATTCTAATTTACTATATGGAAAAGAATGTTATCCACATAATACTGCCCGAATGTGTTCAAAAAAATTAATGTTTTTAACACTATACAACGATGATATGCTGTATCAAAATTCATTCAAACCTAGAAACTATGATTTTATGAAGAAATACTTTTGAGATTACTGTAGTTATTTTATAATAAATCGAGTTGGTAAGAATTGTTATAATTTATTGATTAATCAAGTTACTGTAACTCTGAATACATATATTAAATGGAAGTTGAATTCTTCTAACATAACATTAATTTAGAATAGTGATGCGGTAAAATCGTAAGCTACAAACAGTTATACTTGTTTCATCTATTCATGGCTCTACAATAATTCTACTACTATTTTATTAACATGCAAAACTTGGATTTTTTACGGCAAAAATTGGAACATAGTTAAACACTGTTTGGTTGCTGATTTTATGAACTGATCGAATGGTTACATAGAAAGTTAATGATTGATTTTTTCCCATATAAATTTCCGTAGGTATGGATTTTTTGCGATTTAAGACAATCTTTATTATATAAAATAAAAAAAAAAATCAAAAGTGAATTAATTCATTTATATAGAATGATGAAAAAAAAAGAGTTGAGATAATTAATAATGTAAAATAATACTTTTGGAAAACCGGGCCATAATGCAGGTCCTGAGTTAGCTCTACTACTGGGAAACCAATTTAATCGAACTTCCAATTTTTCTAATAATTCATCACATAAAATTTTTCATTTAAGATAATATATAATATACTGTATTTCTGTTATGTATGACTTTAGACTATTATTACCGTTTTTAGGAACTCCATGAGTCTTCCATTTAATAATCATGGTAACGAATGGACTACAACCTTTTGGTATGATGGAAGTAGTGACATTGATACTTGGTTTAGATTTATCAACGTTAACGGATGAATTGTTCTGGATCGAACTAACTAAATTTAGAGAAGCGAGAAGAAAAAAAAGTAGGAAGGTAATTTTCATCATAGTAATTCAATATAATTTACTCAATTTGATTATTCGGCAAGCGTTTATTTATATTTGAATTTTCGACATTCTGTGTTGGGACTATTATGTCATCATTCTTTTGCTTTGGCGTTTTGTAGTATAAAAACCGATGATGTGGCTACGTTATAGTTTTTAGCTCATTATAGACTATATAAGAAATCATCATTAATTCCACAGATCAATAAATCTTCCTTATACTTAGGGGCTAATGATCGTAAAACAGATAAGATATTTATAAATTTAAATTGCAGATTTTCTAACGCTATTTATAGGCTAATAATGTTCTTATATTTACTCCCTGAAAATTAAAGTGATATTTCTAATTTTAAAAATAATGGTATAAATTAAAAATTAACTCCTTAATTCATTTTTTCCATGCAAATTCGGTAAGTAACGAACGACGGTTTTAAAATTACATGAGAGTTATTTAATTTAGTAGTACTCAACCGTTTTTTACTTATCAATACCAATTCCATGATATAACAAAAAATCAATTTGAAAATTCTGTTAAAAATTATTCATATTTTCTAATTATAGATAATAATTGAATGTGTTATCCTCATCTTTACAGTATCAATTACGTGTACCAGCAATAACCAGTTCCATAAGAGTTTCTTTTTTTATACTGATTTTGGCAGCCTGTAAAAGTTAATTCATCAGTAAGTTTATTAACTTTAGATGCGAAAAAAATTTTTTTTTTCGTCGAATAAGAAAGTTTATCAGTATGTTACATTTAGTAGTTTGTATGATTAAAATCCGGACAAAAATTCGCCAGAGCTGTAGTCAGCACTAATCTAACTTGTTGACCACCTCTCTTATTAGATTAAATAGCATAAACTTAGAAACATTTTTCTTTGAATGGCTTAAATGTATAATGCAAAAGATAAAAACAAAAATCAATGACTTTCAATTTTTGGACCTAGTGAACCAAAAAATATTTTCGCAAGGCCTTATCATAGAAGCATGCAATTTATTATAATTTATTGAATAACTTACCGAATGTTAATGCATACTAGACTAGAAAGTTTGCAACATGAATAATTCAATATTTATTTAAATTTAAAATATAGTTGTATTAAATGTATATCAGAATAAATTTAAACCAAAGACAATAAATTTTTCAATTAAAAAACATACGATAATAATATACTGTACTTGACAATTCTTAAAATAAAAAAAATGTCACAGTGTTCTAAGATAAAACGTGTGCAGCTAATACAATATCTCTTCCAAACTGTTCATATTTTACGTTTGTTAACTTTGGCAAGCCATCATTAATTTCTTCCTATAAGTAAAATAAAAATTCAGTAATAATAATATAAAATCACAATTACTAAATTAATTGAATTATTTTATATATTACTTCTTGATTTTCTGTTGAATTACTATCAATAGCCAAAATTCCATTCACACCAACAAATGTTGGGGCGATAGTGACAATCAACAAATCAACCATGTTACTTTTTAAGAAAGATTTGATCACTTTGGCACCACCTTCTACCATTAATCGACAAATTGAGAAAGGTGGTGAACTTAATATCGATAAAAGATGAGCAATCGAAAGTTGTCCTATTACACATTAATTGAATTTTAGCATAAGGATATTCTCGGATAAAGTGAAAAATGACAACGTACCATTTTTGTTAGATTCAATTGGGACGACTACTGCTCCTTCTTGCTCAAGCAACTATGCATAATAAGTATAAGGATTCAGATAATAGCTTATAATAGACTCAAAATAATAAAATAATGTATGTGCACCTTTCGTTTAGCAGAATCATGATCATAACTAGTAACAATCAAAGGTGATTTATATCCATTCATCTTTGATTGCTTTAACACATTTGATGAAAGAGGAAATCGCAATTGAGAATCTAGTATTATTGGTCTTGGCTGACTTATTGTTGATTCTAGTTCATCAGGACCTAGTAGTCTCGCTGCAATTATAAATATTAATAAAAAAAAATTTGTAAACAAATTTCAAAAGAAAACTAATATTAAATCAAACCTGTTAATCGTGGGTTATCATTTAATATTGTACCGATGCCAACTAATATGCCATCATGTAAAATTCGCAATCTAAGAATAAATATATTAGCTAATGAATACAAAGTTCTTTAACATTATACCAGATAATTACCTATGTGTCATTATGAATGATTCTTCGCAACTTAATGCTAATTGTTGGCCATTACGTCCTGAGATCCTGCTATCGAGACTTTGTGCATAAGTAAGAGTCACTATGGGCCCATTTTTAGATTTTGGAGTCGTAATGCTTTCTAAAAGTGAAGAACAAAAGGACTTGGCACGATCGTGAATAGACATTAACTGCAAATCGTTAATTGATGATAAATACACGAAAAAAAAAAATGTTAAAAGGCATTTTATAAAGTAATATTATTAAAATTGTGAAAATTATTTTAGGTAATTCGTTATTAAGTATAAATACTTGATCATTTCACCGAAATCATAATAATGATAATCTATTTTACTAACAAGACATAATCCAAATATCATTTAATCGATAAAAATTACCCGATAAGTTAACTACAATTATCATTTATCCGACCATTAAAAACCATATAGTCTATTATAACATTTCATGTCAAGTTGTCAGGAAATTGGTTTGATCGAAAAAAAAAGCAATGATGAAAATGTTGTAGGTGGATACAAAATTTCTTTAGATTTGGAATCCACTTAAATGTATTTTGGATCTTAAATCAATTCAAGTGGGAATTTGAAAGTGAACAAACAAAATGAATTATACTGGGTTTAATTTAAGTACAATAAGATCATGGTCGTTTGTGAAATAAAAGTCTAAAGATTTTTATCAAATCAATCAAATCACTAAAGACTTATCTAAAAATAAAAGGATATTCTTAGATTGACATCTTAGATTAAGAGAGCTTCGAAATAAAATAATTCATTAAATAAAGATCGCTTTCTTAACTGATAATACGATCACTATGGTTTTGAATTACTATTATATGGGGTCTTTGCCTTTTTACGGTATCATGTACCGTAAGGTCATTTTCAAGGCAAAGACCCCATATGATCTCAAATTTTTTAAGATCCGAATTCAAGTTAAGCAGATTCCGAATCTACAGTTATTCCATATCATTTATAACAAATATACATCTCAATAACAAATATTGATTATTGACTACATACTTTAATATGTCATTAAATAGGTTAAAAAAAGTATCAGTGAGAAATTACCTAACGCTAATACATTAAAACAAAGTAGTACGTACGTACGTACGTACGTATGTATGTCGATGATCGAACCCCAAAAACTGGTTTAATTTTGGTCAAATTTGCGCCAAATGATCTGCAAATCTGACCAGAATTAAACCAGTTTTTGGGGTCCGATTGACAATAATTAAAAATCAGCCTGTATATCGCTATTAATATCGTCTGTTTTTCGAACATTGAATCAAGATATTTCGGTTAATTTAAATGTTTAAAGCTATTTTTGAGCCCCATTAATTTGTAGAATTTAAAATAGCTTTGAATGTTGAAAATAAACAAGGTATTAGTAAGATTCCTTTGTTTCAAAATTTGAGTACGAAAAAAAACTAATTTTCAATCGTCCAACTAATATAACAGTAGAAAATTATTCAACATGAAATCTTCGGATACAGTATATTATTATATTTTGGTGACAATTTGTAAAAAATAAAAATTTTAAGGAAGTGATCAGGAGATTATCCATCACAGAAATCTACAAACAAATAATTTCAATAAATTTATGATAGGAAAATACCCACCAGAAATAGAAATACAATCTTATCTTTAGAATTCATTTGGAGCAAATAAAATAATGCCAATTTATTGAAATTAAAGATATACTGTATTCATAACTTTGATTAATAAAAATCTTTATACTTACAGACTAAATTAACGTAAATAAATAATTTTTGAATTATTTGTACAGTACTCAATAAAATTGTATGCTTACAGTAAATTTTTAATTTTATAACATAAATTCAAGATATACTAACGAAAATAACTAATCAGTCTAATCAAAGTATTTGTCATAACTTTTTTCCACGCCAACTCGCAATAGTAATGAATGGCAATTTAAAAAATTCCCATGGTCTCAGCTGATTTAGGTATGCATAAATGCTTTATACTTATCTATTTAAATACAATTTCTAACTATATGTAATAATAACTAACTTGATAAATCCATTAGGATTTATTTATCTCTGCAGATTTTTGATAATGAATGAATGCTTTATTCTCATCCTTTTTCAACTCTATCCTGTTTTTATAATAATGACTATGCTAGAATACGTAGACCGTCTAAATCCTTCATATTTTCTGAAAATAATTTTTATTGAAGCGTAGTACATTTGTTAAATAGTCGAAGAACGTCAATAAAATATCGCACGCCATTCCAAGCACAGAAGATGTGACGCCATCAACTGACTTTCTGATAAATATTCACGTCACCGCATGACATAAACAAATCCGGAAAAAGAATAGTCACTGGACAAAAAGTAAATCACAAGAAATTTAAGGTCAAGACAAAATCAGTTGATATGAACCATATAAATAACCGGTTACTTTAACCTATTTAGTTATTTATCACAATGTTATAGTATGATTATGTCACAAATATTTTAATTTTTATATTTTCACTTCTAAATATTATTTTTACACGTGATTTATTGATTGGAAACTTTTATCTTAGTGTTGGGTGTTAAGATTTCTGGCGTTACGGATTTTTTATTTAAATGTTTCTAAATCATTTACAATAAATCGTTAATGCCACCAATGCACCACTATAGCATTATCGTTGGATGATTATTATGCAGGACCATTCATTATTCGATAATAATATTTTATACATTAATGGATTTAGTTCTACAAATTTTTTATTTTTATGCCAATGAATCATGTGTTGTTCCAATTCGAAAATCTATTAAACGATTAGTTAATCGAGTTTGCAGCTGATTGATTGATAATCTTAATCATTGTCGAGTAACTTGTTAATCGATTGGTTAATCGAATAGTTGACTAATCGACTAGCTTTAGACAGTATCATGCTTTGATCTTGTAATCAGTAGCTACACAATTATATCCAAGCCACTCTGATATACTAACTAACCGATTCGTCAATTAATGATTAATCGATTAGTTGGCTATAATCAATTTTTAATCGATTTTTTAAAAAATTTTTGTCCAACTAATCGATTGCATTTCTTGGTCCGATTTGTAACACTAGTAAGTGTTGGTTAATATTGCATTCTGAAAGCAGGTATTTCGGCTTTACCAACAGAAAGTATTTCGACAACAGTTTTGATCAGTGTTGGCATTTGGACTAATTAAATTAATATGGACATAGTCAGACATATACATTTGGACTATGTCCAAATTTTTTTAAAAATATTGACATAGTCCAAATGCCAACACTGGTTTTGATTAAACAAAATCTTTATCGAACCATAGCAATTACAAAAAAAATCAAACAGCTGTTCTGTAAATCTTGAAATCACTTAAGATATCTCGGAAAGTATCAAATATTTAGTTGTCATAAAATTTATTATGACAACCATAAAGCGAGAAAGTGATTAAATTAAAATGTAAGATAAACAGTTGCAAATATGCACAAAGGGTATGTATATTCACACAGTAAAATCACGACGACAGGCACAATTTTTTACGATCAATGACTTATAATATGGTTTTTATAATATTATACAAATCATATATGTGAACAGATATGGTACACGACGAATTAATATAATTCTTATTTTGCCTTAATATCTATACAGTATATTATATCTTATTAGGTTATATCTGGCCGACCGCCGCTTGTTCGCTTTTATTCTTTGGTGGTATTAAGCATGTTGTTTAACTATGATATCAACAGATATATTTAGGTACAAAGGTTTTTTCTATTAATCGTTTAAATTAAAGCCACACAATTTTTGGTAGATTATTTTTCAACTGTTCCATTTATCGGATAATTCGTGAATTTTAGATAGTGCCAACTATAAACCTAATTCTTACGAGCATACTGCAACAATAATGGAGTATTTTATTTTGTTGCATTTGGCGTAAAATTATAATTATTTTATGCTTGTCTATATATAAATTCTTCAGTAAACTAGCTATTAATTGTTTTTCAAAAAAATTGTATATATGCTAAATGTAAGCCAAAAAGATTTCAAAAATAGGTTACTAAATTACTCTAAATACAACAATTCAAAGTAATCATTTCAGATACTACAGTAAAAAATTCTAACTTAATTATTAAAATAATTATTGGTATCGTTCCTTTAGCAATTTTTGTAATTACCATTATTGTACTGTAACTCCAAGATTTATTTGATCATTATAAATAAATGAGTTTTTGGCTTTATCCTGAATAGCACTATTAATTTTTTTAAATTAGTGTCACGTGTGTGACAGTTGTTCGACGTAATTAAAATATGAGTAATCGAAAATGTCGCAATAAATAAGTAATGCGATATATATAAATTATGCGAATGAATAATGAGAGTAATTATTTAATAATAGTGTCGTAATAATTGTTAAATGCAAATGTATAAGTTGTAAGCAAGAGAAAAGGACGTCTCCTGCATAAGCATTCTCTTAATAAAGTAATTACCCATTGATATAAATATAAACTTGTCGTTTAATACAACAATAAAGCGAGTGTTCGAATCGACCCTGGGCCAGATATTCGGTATAGTTTACCCTATATCGTTTAACCACGTGACAATTAGTATTCACATTAACTGTTCTATTTTGCTATTGACAAAAGTGAGAATTGATCTTAAAATTATTGGCCTGTACTAACGTAATTCAGGTTGGTTTGTTTCTCATCTAGGGAGCAAAGTTAAGCAAGCGCACTTTAACACATATGTACAGGTAATTTGTCTTCTGCACTCAAGCAAACAATTTTGCACCTACTATACTGTATATAGCGTAGACTTAATAAGAATTGCTAGTATCTGTGAGCTAAAGCCCTCTCTAATTTTGAGTGATGTCTCAAAAATATAGATTGAATTTGATTTTGCCATTTCGCGAAATTCTTTTGAGAGGCAAAACACTAAGCTTCTATAGCTATTCTCAGCTTAACACTGTAACACCATTATTTACAAGTTCGAACTTTATAGCCATCCCGCGAACTTTGCGAACCATCAAGCTAAACCTATTTTATCGATATTACTACTAATAAACCTACCCCTTTTGACCAGTGTTGGAAATCATATGTTCTCATGTTCTCATCCTTTTAGATTTGAGAACATTTGATATTGTATATATGTTCTCTATGAAAAAAAAATTGAGAACATGATGCTGTCTCTAAG